TAGTCTTCTCATGGTTCCTATCCCCCATCTCCTCCCACTTATGACTGCAGGACTGCAACTTTGTTGTTTATATCCTTCCGATTTATATTGATATGGATTGTTTCCTGATTGCTTATTTGTACCCTATGATTATCACTAAGTGTTGTATCTTTTTATTCCTAATGAATACATTTTATTCCCCTTATGTACACTGAGAGCCTATGCACCAAAGACAAATTCCTTGTGTGACCAATCACACTTGGCCAATAAAAGTATTCTGTTCTGTTCTGTTCTATTCTATTCATCTGTATTCTGTTCTGTTCTGATGTAATCTAGCGCAGTGTTTTTCAACCACTGTGCCGCGGCACACTAGTGTGCCGTGACATAGTGTAAGGTGTGCCGTGGGAGAATTACTTTATATATAGTCAATATAGGCACAGAGTTAAATTTTTTTAACATTTTCTAATGGTGGTGTGCCTCGTGATTTTTTTCATGAAAAAAGTGTGCCTTTGCACAAAAAAGGTTGAAAAACATTGGTCTAGCGGCTTAGAGCAGATACATGAAGCCATATATTTATGGCCTTCGAGAAATAATTCACCCCTGAAAATAATGTCTTTATCCTGTGTGAGCAACTGCAAAACCACTTGTCTTCTTTCCTGGGTCCTACTATTCCTCTAGATCAGGGGTGTCAAACTCGATTTCATTGAGGGCCGCATCAGGGTTGTGTTTGATTTGGGGGGGGGGGGCGCAGCTCGATGTCACTCATGTCAGGAGTGCCAGTGGTGGCCTGAGTGCTCTGCCAGTGGAAACAGGCTCCCAAACTCAGGTTTTGGCTACCATAGCCACCTGCAACCGTCTTGCAGTGAAAAGAGCTCGGGAGGGCCGCGTGCCCTCACTGGCAGAGGATTGCAGGAGGCTGTGACAACTGAAACGGGAGCTCGGGAGCCCATTTTTGCTGGCAGAAGCACTGTGGGCCAGTCCTTCGCTATTTCCAGGACAGCCCCTGCGGGCTAGATCTAAGCATCCCATGGCCTGGATACCCCTGCTCTAGATTAAGACCTGGTATGTATTTAACTTAAGCTTTCTTCTGGAAACTTTTTTTAACGTATAGAACATTTACTACCTTAACTGACTTATGGATTTATAAGACCTTGTCTTTGCTTCAGTGTTCTGGTATTTGCCAAGCATAGTATTTCCTCTGGTTCATCAGGTCACTGTGAAAAGCAGTGTTTAGTTTATGATTTTCTACATATAGCTATACTGCAAGTGTCCCCAGTAATTTGTAGTAAATTCAATACCTAGGAGGCTACAAACTTCTTTTTACACAGGTCTTTAAAAAATTCAAAACTAGGGGAGAGATCATGTCAAAAATTCTGTTAAGGTTCCCTTAATTGGAAATAATCTCTAACACTACCACTCATTTGAAGATCTTTATGCAAAATAAAACTTCCACAAAAGAAAATTGGTGCATATTAGCTGAAATGAAGATACCCCGATGTTCAGTTTGTTTTATTATATTAAATATTAGCACACTGAAATCTACAAATTATAAGCCCCACAATTTTTCCTATGCATTCTTCAACAAGAATATAAGCATACAACTGAGTAGAATTCCACATGTTCAGTTTTCCCCGTCATAAGAAAAATGGCTTAGCTGCTGCTTTTAAAAAGTAAAAGCTAATCAATCAGAGGCATTTATTTATGAGGCCGCCACTTGTATGTTAAGCCACAGAAATGATTTTACTTATTACTATTGTAATCAAATTTCTTAATAAAATTATATTAAAATGGTTTTACTTAGAGCTGAAGATCAGTCCCTTGATCCAGCAAGAGATTCTTGCACGCAAGTAGTTTTCGAATTACAAAACAGAATGAGAATCCAAAACATCTTGTATGGTGAGTAAAATATTCTGAGAAGTATTATGTAAGGAGCACATCTAGAAAAGTTCTCACTCAAAACATACAGGATTGACATAATTTGTGAACCAAAAGTTTCTCTTCATTATTTCAGTATTAAAGTATTCTCCTGAAATTTTATTTAAATTAGGCTTCTCTCAGCTCCAGCAATTAGCTTTGCTTCAAGCTATGTCTAAATTCATGGCCTAGCAGCTTACGTACCAGAACAGGTAAATGTTTTGTAGAAAATTATCCCTCAGCAGACCAAGAATAAAGAGCCAATTTTTCTCTTTATGTAATTCAGATTTAAATCATTACCATATTTGTCTGGCAATATGATACATGCAAATGTATTGGTTTTGTTGAGTTTTGGTGTGACAAGTGAACCCCGCACCTGCGGGAATGTGCTAGGAAGAAGTTTTTTTGTGATAATACTTGGTAAGATTTTCATACCATACAGCCTTATAACTTAAAGAAAAGCATCAAAAAGATTTTTCTTCTATTGGGCAACCATGGCAAGCTCTAAATTCAGGATGTCAAGCAGCTTTTTAAAAAGAAATACTATGACCCCTTTTGGGCAGCACCGTAATGAAATCCTCAAAATAACTCTTTCCTGAATATCTGTCCTCCAGCAATCTTTCAACTGAGTTGGGAACATCCACTTTATACAAAAGAAATATTCCTGTACAAATATAAACACGAATGGTGAAGGGGAAACAGGGTTGCATGAAGTGGATTCCATGTTTGTAGAGCCCCGGGTTTTGCTACAATATACTTTGGAGATGGGAAATATGACAGCCCAAGTTTGCAACACCACCACCACACAAAGCAAGGTAAGTTTGGGCCGAGGCAAGTCATTCAATGTCATTCACTAGCTGCAATTCAAAGACCTGCAGGTGTTCCTTAAACCGTCGATGTGCATCGGCACTGTGTGGCCGCCGTTCACGCTGCAACTCACAGATGCGTAGGCGGAGTCTCTGTTCACGACGCCGGCAAGCTTGCAGCTGCCGCTGTGTTTTCCCTAAAGCATCAAGTGCTGCCTCGGCCCGTCTCTTCCACAGCAAGGCACTACCCACCTGGTAGCTGTGCTCATTCTGGATGTAGGCACCAGCTGGGGGTGGGAGTCGTAGCATGTAGAGGGAGAGAGAAACGGGTTGAGATGGATCCCCTACAGGTTCTGGGAGAGCGGGAGATGGAGAGGCCTCTTCTTGGCCAGTGGCAGCTGGTAACTGTTCCAGGGGTATGTCTGTCAGAGTGGCCAAATTCTCTGGTTCTGACCCTGGGAGATTCGGCTGGCTTCGAAGCTCACCAGTAGTGGGAGCAGCCCCAGGACTTGGCAGCTCTTGCACGGGGAAGCAAGAGACATCCATACACAATGGAGTTGACGACTCTGCATTGCGGCAGCCACAGCTGTGAAAAAGGGATAGAATCGAGGTCAGGTGAGAAGTAATAGCTACCTACATAAGGTGCGACACTGAGTAACCAGCAGAGGAAAACATGATTTCAGATGCAGGATGCCCATGCAGAACAGAGGTGGGTTGCTCCCATTTTGGGCTGGACTGGGCGAACTGGTAGTAGCAGCAGCGGGAGGCTCTGCCCACCCTCTTCTGCATCGCACGAGCACAAGCAAAGTGGTAGTAAAAAAAATTGGAAACCCACCACTGATGTAAAACATATTCTTCTTATAGGCCAGGGGTATTAAACTCAAGGCACGTGGAGTGCTTAAATCCAGCCCACGGGACCAGCCTGGAATATTAAAGGATTGGTTCGCGATGGCTCTAGCAGCTAAAACAGGCTGTGCGCACACACACAGACACACACCTTGTTTTCACTCACCACGGCCTCCTGCAGCACTCTGCCGGCTGAAAATGAGTTCGAAAACTGCCCATACCATCTAGTACAGGTGTGTCTATCTCAAGTGTTTAAATCCGACTCACGGTGCTAGCCTGGAAATATTAAAGGACTGGCCCACGGTGCCTCTGGCAGTTAAAATGGGCCATGTGTGCCCCCCCCCCCAATCTCATTTTCATTTTCCAGGGCTTGCAGCACTCTGCCACCCAAAAACAGGCCTGCACAAAAACAGGCCATGTGCCCAAAAATGCAGCAAAAACTGTCCGAAAATTGCTCCCCAAAATGCGGCCTCTTGCAGCCCATTTTCGGCTAGCAGAGTGCTGCAGGAGGCCAGGGAAAACAAAAGCAAGCCATGGGGGCTGCGTGCAGACTCCCCGCACCCTGTTTTGGCCAGCAGGGTGTTGCAGGAGGCAGCTGTCTGGTCTCCCCCACCCCACCCCATCGAGAACTACAATGCTGATTTGGCCATTGAAGAAATCGACTCAGTTTGACACCCCTACCAGAGGCTATCAGGAGCCAATATGGAGTGAAGCTTGGGCTTGGGAAACGAGGCATTTTCTAGGCAGACTAGAGTGATCTTTTGTAACATACTACCATAAGATGATGTGGATACATATAGCAAAAAGAAGAAAAAGATTGTTCAATTCAGCCACGAAATTACATTCCAGGACTGATGTTTTTCACATTTTTAATATTCTGAACTTAATATTTTTCTCTCTGGTTCTAATCTCAAATTCCACCATTCCATTCTGTTATACACAAAATTCCTTTTAAACTTACTAATATATTAATCTATTAATGGCTGAATAGATTATGCTTTTTACTCTTTATCAAGAAGTAAGCATCACCAAATGTACTGAGACCTACTTCTTTCGGTCTGTAAGATGCACTCCCCCCCCCCTCCCCAAAAGTGGGTGGAAATGTCTGTGCATCTTATAGAGATAATGTTGCTGAAGCCCCCGCCCACACTTCGGCTCCTACCCTTCGGCCCCTGCCTCCCAGCAATTTGCCTCCTTACAGCAAACAGCCTGATCAACTTCAACACAGCCTGATTTAGCATGAGCAGCTGATTGGCGGCTGAATCGGCCTCCCAGAATACTGCCTATCAGCTGTTCCTGGTTGCGGTGATCTGTCGCCTATTGCCGTCTCTGCGCACCCCATTTTTGGCCTCTGTGCATCCTGTTTTCCACGTGTGCTGTTTGGCAGCAAAGGTGGGGACTCCTGCTGCCTGGAACGAGCTGAAAATGGGGTGGACGGAGCCGGCAATAGCCCGCAGAACAGCTAATCGTCGATATTGAAACTGACCAGGCTATTTGCTGCAAGGAGGCAAATTACTGGGAGGCAGAGGCAGATTTTTTTTTTCTTGTTTTCCTCCCCGAAGGCTTAGGTGCGTCTTACAGTCAGAAAAATACGGTAAATATTCAGGGTTACAGAGAACATGAGGTCAGAAGAGTAGGACTCACATCTGCTTCCGTTGATACTTTGCAAGTTTGGAACTGTTTAATTTAGACTTCCGGCGTGGCTTTGCATGAAGCTCAAATATCGTAGGAACAGCCCCTTCTTTGAGACGATGATAGCCGCTACAAAGGAAAAAAACCCCACATATCAAAGTTGTTACTGGCTCAGAAACCCCGGTATCTGGACTGTAGATCGCTGGAGGAGAAGGTAGATCTTCGGAGGGCTTTGGAATTAGCTACTTACATTCTATTTTGAGTATTATTTGTCCAGCTTTTGTACAGACCTATTAAATAAAGTAATTAATTTTGGCCACAAATAATTAGCTCTTTCCTTTCCTAATTCTGTTTGGTATCTACAACCCCAAAATCTTGTAATGAAATGTCAAGTTAAGTTATGATCAAGTTAAATATATATGTTATGTTTTGGCAATACTATCTAGTACAGGGGTGTCAAACTCAAGGCTCGTGGGCCAGATCTGGCCTATGGGGTGCTTAAATCTGGCCCGTGGAGCCGGCCTGGAAATATTAAAGGACCGGCCTGCAGTACCTCTGGTGGCTAAAACAGGCTGTGTGCACCCCCCATGCCTCGTTTTCAGTCTCCATGGCCTCCTGTAGCACTCTGCTAACCGAAAACTGCCCCCAACTGGCAGAAAATGGAGCCGCGTGTGGCCTGTTTTTGACTAGCAAGTGCTGCAGGAGGCCATGGAGACTGAAAACAAGGTGCAGGGGGTCCTGCGTGCAGACCCCCTGCACTCTGTTTTGGTTGGTATGATGCTGCCGCAGGCAGATGTCCGATCCCCCCCCCCCCGCACCCTCTCCCCTGGCCCATGGAGAACTAATGCTGATCTGGCCCTCGAAGAAATCCAGTTTGACACCCTTGATCTAGTATAAGTAGTCAAGATCCTTTCAAGATCTCAATCACACTTATNGCTTTCATGCCTAAGGTGGAACTAGAACTTACTGTCTCCTGGTGAGTGGCCCAAAGTCACCCAGTTGGTTTCCATGCTAAGGCAGGACTAGAACTCACTGTCTCCTGCTTGCTAGATTGGTGCCTTAATCAAACCTCTTTGCTAAATGAAGCATTTTACTTAGCAGTGATTCTCCCTGGGCAGTTGACAATTAGAACCACAAAAAAAGCATTTTCCAGGAAATTTTTACAATACCTTTGCTTGAGTCAGAGCGGCTTTTTTCACTTGCAGCTGAGATTGCAGAAGTTTGAAATTTTTGGACCAGCCTTCAGTTTTGGAATCACTGGTTTCTACTCCCAGATCATCATAGAGGGACATTTTTTTTCCTGATACAAAACCAAGAAACAGGGAAAAAAAGTGTTTTTTGTTCAATTCAATTTTACATTTTCATTTAAATATTTTGCCTGAACGTAAAAGAAAAACTATAGAAAAAATACACACGTAAAGAAATACATTAAAACCAAAACAACCCAAAAGGGGGAATACTGTTTACGTATATTACTTATTATTTTTATTTATTTTATCTATTTATTTCCTGCTTTTATTATTTTGATAAATTCCTTTCTCCCACTTTCCCCATAAGAAGCCTGTGAGGTGAATTGGGCCGAGAGACAGTCACCTAGCTGGCTTAATTAAATATCACGTAGATTTCTAAATCTATCTCAGAACATTACAAGAGCTCTTAAAATGATTCTGCAGAAAAAGAGTCATTTTCTCATTAGCAAAACACCATATCACAATTATTAGCACTCAGCTGTATTCTTACTTGACCCACAAACAGTGTGATATAGAATTGAGATTTATACATTTATTTACTTATAATTAAAAACATTCAAAATAGGCATGGGTTAGATAAATTCAGGGCAAGAAAAATAAAGATTTTTTCCCCACCCTAAATTGCGAGTGATACAAAATACAATAAAAAAAGGAAATATTTATCTTCATACTATGCTACCTATTCGACAAATTGGCCTCACAGACAATACAACCATGTACATACCATTCAAAAGAGACATTGAACAAGCCAAAAAATGAACAAAAAGAGCAAAATACCTCCACAGCAATCAACACCCAGATGAGCAGAGATTAACACCAAGGTTAATATTAGATTAACAGCCAAGGAACTGCCATCAACACTAACAGGGCAAGGTCCTAGATAGAATATAAAATGACAGCAAACCTCACTCCACTCTAGCACTGATGATGTTCTCTAGTTTGGTCATGAAACTTCTACAGTAAAACTACCAAGCTCAAAGAGCACCAAGGACCCTACAGTTGTCATCCTCCTCTCCACAAACCCCACTCCCTTCTAGCACTGATGATGTTCACTAGTTTGGTCGTGAAACATCTACAAGAAAACCACCAAGCTCAGAGAACACCAAGGAGACCCCATCCATCCTTCCACTCACACACCCATTCTTCCATCCACCATTCCATCCATCCACCTATCCTTCCACTCATTCTTCCATCCATCCATTCTTCCACTCACTCTTCAATCCACCCACCCATCGTTCCACCCACTCTTCAATCCACCCATCCTTCCATCCACCCACTCTTCCATTCATCCATCCTTCCACCCACTCTTCCATTCACCCATCCATCCTTCCACCCACCCATTCTTCCATCCATCCATCCACCCACTCTTCAATCCACCCATCCTTCCATCCACCCATCCATCCACTCTTTCATTCACCCATCTATCCATCCTTCCACCCACCCATCCACCACCCATTCTTCCATCCATCCATCCATCCTTCCACCCACCCACCCTTCCACCCACTCTTCATTCCATACATCCTTCCATCCATCCACTCATCCATTCTTCCATCCACCATTCCACCCACTCATTCTTCCATCCATCCATTCTTCCACCCACCCACCCATTCTTCCATCCATCCATCCTTCCAACCACTCTTCAATCCACACATCCTTCCATCCATCCATCCATCCACCCACTCTTCCATTCACCCATCTATCCATCCTTCCACCCACCCATTCTTCCATCCATCCTTTCACCCACCCACCCATCCTTCCACCCACTCTTCATTCCATACATCCTTCCATACATCCATCCATCCACTCTTCCATCCATCTATCCATCCACACATCCCTTCCTTCCACCCACCCACCCCTCCCTCCCTGGGTTCCTGACTCTCTCCACAAACAATTATACTTTTGGATATTTTTGATTTATTCCTTCCCGTAAGGCATGCAGGGGTGACACTGAAATCGAATTTTATCATATTTTACCTATATCTTAAAATAATTGTTATTCTATTCCAATTTCATTCTAGACTGCATTTTATCCCAATTCCATTTTAAAATCGCATTTTATTCCAATCCCACGTTAAATGCTATTTTATTCCAGTCCCACTTTAAATCATATTTTATCAAATTCTATTCAAAATTTAGTCATCATTTGTTTCTGGAACTTGATATGGCCCAAGGGCTAATTAATAAAGACTCAATGCCAATGTCAACGTAATTAAAAATAAATGTACTGGAAACCCCGATTCCCTCCCCCCTTTTAAAGTCCAAATTCCTAAGAAATCAGGCCTTCAAAGTCAGGGGTTACACCCCCCCCCCGTTGTCGCAAACCGAGGATGGGGGGGAGCTGTCACAGACGGCCCTCTGCATATGCTCAGGAACCCGTTGGATCGCCGGGCGGACCAGAGTGGGCAGCCAAGAAAACCGGGTTTTATTTCTGAAGAGAGCGGGAGGGATTCCCGTCACGACGGGCTTAAAGAGACCCCCCGAATAATCCTTTCCCGCAATACGAGCCCCTCGGCTCTTCTTTTCCCTCTTTCAACATTCAGGCCGACGCTCCTAGTAGCAGATAAAACGGTCTCCAAGTCTTCCCCATCACAAAAAATGTATTTTTTTTTTAATTCTTACCCTTCCGTCGAGGCCGCAAGCCGGGGGCTCGCGTAGCACCCGAGGCCGAGAAGAGCGCCTCTTCGTCGGCCGAGAGAAGCGCCCGCGTCACGGCTGACGGGAACCAATCAGGCTGCTCCTTCTCAGCGCGCGGCCGGGAAGCGGCTCCGCTCTTGTCGGCCGCCGTCGTCGCCGCCTCTCTAGAGACCGTTTGTGCGCAAACTCCGTAGTGGCCGCGGTGAGGTGGAGCCTGGTCCTCCCTTGGGGGCGGCGGAGCTACGGCGACTCCGTCCGCAGCAGCCAATGGGCGGAGAAAAAGAAGTTCCGCAAACGGCGAGGTTTGCTGGCTTTACGGCACGGTCGGTGTTACGTAAACGGCGTAGGAGGGAAAGCAGCGGGGAATGCATTTGTTCGGCCATGTGGGTTGTGTGCATGCGTGGGGGTGGGTGGGGTAGAAAGCAAAGTAGGCGTTGCCTGTTGTGATCCAGTGAACAAGGGAGCAGCGCTTTCTGCAAGCCAAGGGGTCGACGATTGGAGAGCATCGCTCTTGCCCAACGGGTTTGTTTGTTTGTTTGTTTACTAGCTGATAACCCGGAGTTGCCTGGATATTTATTTATAGGGGTTATATCCGGACCAAATGTAATTTCTAATGTTGGATTTTCCCCTTTACCAGATTGATCCCCCTTGTGGAGTACCGTGAAGCTGTTACCATGGCAACTCCACTGTGCTGTACAGTAGAAGTCATTTGAAGGCACAACAGGGTGTATCTTAACAGAACACACACCCTGAGGGATGAATATAACATTTATATTGCTGCCTATTCGCCCATGGCGACTCTAGGCGGCTTACAGACTATAAAACCACATTTAAAACAATAAAAGCTAACAAAAAAAAATCAAATAAATTAATATGA